TGGGGACTCAAAAAGACATTTCAGCTTGGACCCTTGCTTCTCTGGCACACTCTGAGGTGGGTCAGGGTAGGGTTGGATGGGGATGGGGCGCTGTGGAGAGTGTTCCCAGCAACCGTGTTAAATTCTTGCTGGCATGGGGTGGGTGGGGATATGTTTGCGCATATTGGCAATCAGCGGTTTGGAGTTGTTGATTTCGGGTCGGGACACGTTTATCAGCGAATCTAATCAAGATGCAGCGCTAGAAGTATTGTCCAGCATCCTGCAGACAGTGGTGTTTTCTATTGTTTCCCGAGGTTTGTGCTCGTGGCAATGCGAGGAACATGGATGGCAAAGTCAGGGATGCGCAAACGACCCATTCCAAGGCAAACAACTGGTGTTCATGGAACTTCTGCTCCTGAAAATGCAGACACATGAGGTGTTTGGGTATGTTCTGACAACAGCGTCGCTGCAAAGATTGCAAATTGCGTGGCTCGGATTCAATCTATCTGGCTTGTGTGTGTGGAAAAGTTGAAGGCATATCAATAGACAAAAAGGCTCAGTGCCTTTCTGACCAACTTCCACTTGAGCCAGTCACGCGTTGTGTTGCAAGGGGGTTGCAACCCTAAATTTGTGTATTCCGCCTATGGTCCCACAAGGCAGAGTCAAACCAAGGTTGCCTACATAACAACTAGATGAAATCCCAGTAACCAAACGGAAATCTGTCTAACTACAAACTGAGGTCCCCAGGGTGGAGGCAGCAATCGTTTATAGCTTATGGTATCCACTTCTACTCAACCCATGAGTCTAACTTACATGGGACGACATGCATTCGGCAACCTAAGCCGCAGCAACGATGCCTTTGGATCGATCACGTTCAGGATCAAAGACAGCTTCATTTCCTGGGCCGCGATTCTGTCGATTCAGCCCACACGGTCCCGCAGGGCTCCACTCCCCATGCGAGACTTTTGTGTGGGAAAACTTGGCTCTGCCGTATCAAAGAGAAGAATTGTTTCCTCTTTTTTTTGGGGGGGTGCCATGACAGCCACCGATCCTCTGGGCCCTTCTTGGCGGGCTTCATGCCAAGGGAGCCAAATGGCCTTTCAAACTTCAGACACTAAAACCAAGTGTGGAAGGGAACAACTCCTTAGCCTAAATGCATGCCCCCAGCTCCCAAAGCATTGAGCCAACCATGCGCGCAAATCCACGCTCGAAACGCAGGATAGCCGCTGAGCTTCCTGTACCCTCTCACCCAACATTCAACCTGACAAATCCCTGGAAGACAATTTTCCTCAAGGGACATTCTGATGGCTGGGTATGTCACACGGCCCTTCGACGCCTTCGTGCCTCACCTCTTAGCTCGCCGCTGCCTGACCCACAATGGCGGAGAAGGGGAACACAGGCCTGGCAGGTATTGGGAACCAATCTGAAAACCGGATCCGGCGTCTGGTTTGCATTTCAGTGTCCCGGGGTTGCATGTCTGGTGCCAAACAAAAAAGGCTGTCGAGTCGCGCAGAAGCGGCTTTGAACCCTGAAGCTCGGAAGCAAGATCGAATGGAACCAGCCAGAGCCCAACTCGGACCACTTCTAGCCATAGCCACTTCTCTCAATGCAAGTGACATGGAGCGTGGTGCACATGGGGAACCCAAGCAGGTACTCCCCTGGTACTGGAAACGGGTCATCCCACATGTGAGGTTGCTCCCGCAGAGAACGTGCAAGCTTGCGGCTGTCGTCCGGCATTTCAGCTTGGCATTTCAGCTTGTACACATGTCCATAGGTAATGATCATACAACAGGCCTACAATCCGCCTGGTGGGAAAGGCCACTGGAGCCTGGGATGAGTTTGAACGTCCAGTGCCGATCTCTACTTCCCTCTTCTGAGGTCGACTTTCCGATCTGCCGCATATAGAAACGTTGCTCTTTTTGAGGATGCCCGTTTTGGGGCCTTGTTGTTAAAGGAAACCTTACAGTTGGGTAAAAGTAGATGTCACAATTGAGGTTTCAGCCGCTTTGCCAGACATAAATTAAAGCGACCAGCGCCATCTGCTCCCACCCGTGTAAACTACAAGTAGCCCATGTCCCGTCTCCCCATTTCAGGGTTTCCCTTTCCCCATTCCGCAACGGCCATTCTGCCGTTGTCCAACAGAGGGGACCCAAAAAGGGACCAAAATTGTGACAACCCTCCTCCCCCCGCGATGCGAGCCTCTCGTTCACGGTGGTGGTCTTCTCCTTCTCAGCCACCGCGCAGCACTGGATCCTGCCGAGCGAGTTCTGGGCGCGCGCATTTCTCAAAATGGGCAGCGTTCTCTGTAGGGGCAGATTCAAAGGAAAACACGCATCTGGGGTCCCCATCAGTTTTGGCACATACCCAAATCATAGTAAAGGTGAACCCCAAAGGTTTGGAAGAAGCTGCAAGCAAACTGTTACAAATGAACAATTTTTAGACGTGAATTCTGGGCTCTGGGTAAGTTCGAAGCCCAGCTACAAGGAATTCTACCGGAGGGTTAGCCCGACCATCTGGCTGCAGGTGGGTATCTGGCTAACTTCCTGCAGAATTTCCTGTGGCTGGCTTCCGGAGTAGTGGACTAGTTTCGCTCTCTTAGAGCTACTGGCATTGGGCCTGACAAAAGCTTCACATCCACAACACCGTCGAAAACGCGAGAGCTGGGGAATAGAAGCGGGCAGAAAGCATGGCGCCATGCATGAGTTCAGCTCTTCCGCATGTGCGCAAAGGCGCAAACGGCCATGTCGCCGGTTCTGGAACATGTTCGGAGCTATTCGTAAGTAACTAAGCAGTTCAGTGGTCTGCCTGAGAGGCTGACTGGCCAACTAACTTTATAACCAGCTAGCTGCCCAATTGGCGAACTAGCTCGCTGAGCTAACTTTCGAACTACCTAGCCAACTAGCCGGCGAACGGGCTAGCACAAAGGGAAACCACTAATCCCCCCCCTTCTCCCCGGCCCTGTGGCAGGGTGGGTGGGGGCAAGTTGGAGCGAGTTAAGGGTTGGGTTCACTTGGGCTACGATCTGGGAACACCCTGCCCGCCCTGTGGAGTGGGTTGGGTTGGTTTTGGGCTTGCTGCTTTGGCTTGGTCTTAGTTGGCTGGCTTGGGGAAAAGGAGTCGAAATGAGTGCTAATTAAGACTAACACTTGTGTTTTTTCTTTGGACTTGCGCACCTTTCGACAGCTCCCGCAAGGCATTGACATCCAAGGTGATACCCCTCCGTGGTAGTGGGCCATGAAGCATGAAGCATTAGCATCAGGTTTAACCCCTTTTCCACGTTGTCTACCCAACCGCCAAACACAGGGCCAAGAAAGGCCCCTGTCGCACCCGCGCCTCTTGTCATGGCGGCGGCCTTGCCTCCGACAGGGCCGCCGTATCGCGACAGCGAGCGTGCCAGGTTTGTGGGGGTCGTACCCATGAGTCCGACTCCCCTGAAAAATCATGTGGGACCGTTGTGAGGGGTCGATGTGCCGCTATGTGTCTCGGCCAAGGTCTCTGGTGACTCCAGCCTCCCACATTGTGCTGGCTTGGCTGGGATTTGGCGATTCGACCAGTTCCAGGCATGAACCAGAGCGATTCTCCTAGCGGCGTGAAGTCGTTCTCTCCCCTGGCGCTTGATATGCTCGAACTTTTCTGATGCCATCCATTGGCACTTTCGTTTCGAACCCGGATGCCCTTTTGGCAGACTCTAAAAAAGAACACAAGCCAGCCGCTTTCGGCGACCTCACGCAGCTGGCCATTCACACAGCGAACACAGCCATATTTTTACTATGGTCAAAACTCCTTACATGTCTTCTGTCTCGCAAGTACCAAAACCGCTCAATCCTGACAAATTATCAGTTGCCCAGGTGCAACTGCGAGGAAAGGGGGAAGCACTTTTGGTTGGTCACATTGGTCATGTTTGTCAGAGGTGCAACAACGAAAAGCAGCTTTGATGACAAGCCGACCACCCCCCCCCCCCAGCTGCCTCTTCATGCCAGCTGCCATTGCCACCCCGCATGCGAGGAGTGGAGCAGCGGAGGAGCCTCGAACCCCCCGATCCAAAGAAGACAACTTTTGGTCGGGGTAACTTGGGTCTCCCCGAGGACTTGACATGGTGGAGGTTCTGTCAATTCTTTCCAGGCAATTAGCGTCAGCATTGAGCATTTTGGCCCCTCCAAAACTTTGCCGGCCAAATGACTTCTGAGTCCACAGAAAGTCGGGTCATCGCCCGAGTCTCAGCAAACAATGGGTCACAGTGATTACCATCTTGGTCGGTGGATGAGGACAGAGCTCACCTGGACGACCGTTGTGTCGGGTTGCTCAACCTGTGGGGAGCACGGTATCCAAAGTGAGGGGGTGACAGGGCATGCTTTAGCCGCCCGCCGCGGTCCGACTGGAGAGCATCTGTGTGCAATCAATTTGTAGCCTTCAGTAGTACGCGAATTGTAGCCTTCCATTTGCACGAGGACCGCAAACACACAGACAGACACACAGACGCACAGACACACAAACACACAGGCAAGCAGATACGCAAACACACAGACACACAGACGCACAGACGCACAGACGCACAGAAGCACAGAAACTCACAGAAACTCACAGAAACTCACAGAAACTCACAGAAACTCACAGAAACTCACAGAAACAAAGACATACAGACATACAGACATACAGACACACAGACACACAGACACACAGAGACACAGAGACACAGAGACACAGACGCACAGACTCTGACACACAGACACACAGACACACAGACACACAGACACACAGACACACAGACACACAGACACACAGACACACAGACACACAGACACACAGACACACAGACACAAGACACAAGACACAAGACACAAGACACAAGACACAAGACACAAGACACAAACACAACACAAGCACGCGCACACACACACACACACACCTACCCACCCAGCCAGCCAGCCAGCCACCCACACACACACACACACACACACGCACGCACGCACGCACGCACGCACGCACGCACGCACGCACGCACCCACACACCCACACACACACACACAAACACACAAACACACAAACACACAAACACGCCCACGCACCCAGGCAGGCAGGCAGGCAGGCAGGCACGCACGCAAACGCACTCACACTCACACTCACACTCACACTCACACTCACACTCACACTCACACTCACACTCACACTCACACTCACACCCACCCACCCACCCACACAGTATTTTTGCTCTTCGGCTATACAAGTCCCTGAAACATCGAACCGAGACCAATCAGAGTTTGGCCAACCCCTTTCTTAAACATGTTTGAACCACTAGGATTGAAACAACCTCCTTTGGGTTTCCCATTGACGTGTACCCAACCCCGACACCAACTGCTCCGCTCGCCTGCCGGCGTTGGCTTCACCTCGCAGGGGTTCGACTGCAGCCCGGGTCAATCATCTCAGGGGTCCTAAAGTCTTTCGTAACCTTCAATCATCTTGCAATATAACATGGAATGACAGAATGACAATGATTCCCTTGATGTGAAAGTTTGCTGGCTCAAAACCATTTCCAGATTCATTGTCGCTGCCCGATGCACTAACAGTAATCGGGTTGTTTGACCTTGTTTCCCATTTGGTTCCCCTTTAAATGACGCCAAGAAGGTTGCGCCAAACATGACCTGCTGTGCTGCAACCAACATGACAGCGCCGCGAGCGCAAAGGCATGGCATGGGGCTCTCTGACAACGTGAGAGCCAGAGTGAATCTGGGTACCAAGCTTTTCTTTTAGCATCCCGTTAAACCAACTTGAAAAAGGTATCCTCAACAAAAACTACCTATATGCAGCAGGTGCCCCCGAATGACATTGGATGTTGATGAGTACACCCCCAGTGGTCAGTAGTATTCTGCTTCGTCTGCCACATGCCATCCCCATTCACAGTAGATGAGAGTAAATATAGACTGCCGCTAGTGTACGCAGGCAACTAGCCCCTAGCCCCCCCGAGACACCACTTACCCATGATGGTGTCTGGCGAGTTGCGGCTTTACCCCCCAGCGTGATATCAACGGTTGGTCTTTGAACTAAGCCCACAACGCTGGCTTTACGCAAACCTATTCGAGACGTGGTCCACTTCATAATTAAGCGCCAACTGCACAAGCCTATGCGCAGCAAGTTTCCGCCAAAATGCACGGTGCAAACCCCCCAAGGCAGCCATTTGGGATGCTGGCAGTTCTGCAAACAAATGGCCCCGTTGAAATACTCTCAAACATGGTTTGTGGATATAAATTCCTACATGATGTCCACCAAAAGGTCCGACCAACTAAAAGGGTCCGGGGTCGAGGGTCTGTTCATCCGATGCTGTTTGACCTCCATGTTACCAGCCCCCAAGCAGGTTGTGGCTCGATATCAAAACAGAAAACGAGCGGGCTGAAACTGATGTCCCAAACCGCGCCTGCGTGGCAGCCACTGGAATGTGCTGGCGTACAGGGCTGGCGCCCAAGGGCGCCACGAAGGCCTAAGTTGGGGAATCCGATGAACTCCCTCCCGTTTCGAAATGGCAATTGGACGTGTACCGGATTTTGCTCCCGCGTTTAGAGTAAACTACGAGAAATATTGACCGTGGCCGTTTGCTGTCGCATCTTGCTGTTGCAGGGTGACCTTGTTGAAGTGTCCTTAAGAATCTGAAGGAAAAGGCTTCCCGCTTGGCAGCAAGCCCTTGAAACTGTCAACCACCAAAAGGAATCTCAGGCGATGCTCAAGCCACCGGAGGAAATAGGGAAGCCGGTCCAACTTTGTGCCGGGAGTGTTCCGGTGGTTAAATCTGGCCTGGGGTTATTGTTCTAACCACAATATATACAGTTATACTCCAGCCCCAACCGATAGTCTAACCCTATAAGAAAAAGAGCACAGACACAAGCACGTGGAGCCTTGCCACATAATGGTGTCAAGCAACCTAAAGTCTGGTTAGGCTTTTTGGGTCCATGCTTGGGGGGAGGCCGCTGCTCTCAGAAGCAGGCGACTAGCCCTTGACTCAGCAGAAAGACGGAATGCTTGCAGCCATATTTCGGCGCCCCGGCTGTTGGAGCACCAACTGCCGACCTTCACGCGGCGAGCGGCACAAAGGCGCGCAAACCGGCTGCAACGTGGAGGTGCATCCCACTTGGTAAGAGGGCAGGTGACAGTGACATTGGACATGGCTATAGGGAAACAAGCCGCAGCCACGCGGTCTGCAACCACAGTTATCAATGGTGTGTGGGCCTATTCACAAAAACAATAACATGAAGCCAAACCTTCCTATTGGAAACAGGTCACAAGAAAGCGCGAGGCATCAGCATATTGTGCCGGAGATTTCTACTCCAAGCAGCTTGGATTGCCTGCTCGAGCAACTGATCACTGAATCGGCAAATTGATGGATTCTGAAGTCTCAAGCTGCCTGGTAATTTGCTACGATGGCCAGGGGCGGTACCTTGTTGAGTTGCTTCTTTGGCCTTTTTGCCACGTCTGCGGTTCGCTTCAAAAACAGCTTGCGTAACTATCAACCATTGGGCGCTGAAGCCACTAATCAGACAACATGCAGTAGCAATCACGATCTGAAGGGCAGCTGCTATCAGGAAGCTTTACATCCGGGGCCACTTTTAAGGCCACACTGCTCGGATTTGCCATGTGCCATCAAATGTAAATTTGCTTGGGGCAAGGTCACAACCCTCGCATCATCGGAGAGAACCAAAGACCTGCTTCCACAATCTGGGGAGTAGCGCCCACCACCCATCACCCACCACCCACACCCACCACATAACATCCGTTCATACTTTCACCACTTGCCGACGAGATTTGGCCTGTCCCTTGACACCGAACCTTGGTCGTCCATCTGGCTGTGGCTCCGGGCATTATAAACTGGGCGAAGCAGGTTGGTGGGCCTTGCAAGCACAGCTTGAGAACCAAGCGAACTTTCTTGGTCTGACTGGCCACGCGCCTTGCCTGAGTGCTTGTGCTTCAGCTGTCTCGCTGCATTGAAAAAACAAGACCGCTTCCCAAGACTTGTAAGACCAGAGAGCAAACTGAGTGAGTAGACATCTTTGAAGCAAGCACGGAGAAATCATGATGCGAAGACCGTAACCTCGTGCGACAGCAATGGACAGGGCTGCTTCAGTCAGAGTCCTCCCGTCCCGGATTGATTCATGACCCTGAGGGCGAGCAAGCAGTTGTGGATCCCATCTTGCAAGGAACGGGTTGTTCAAATGGGATTCTCTGGGTGCGTAATCTGCTTGCTAATTCCGAGTTGGTGTCAGCTCCCGGCCCATCTGCTCCTTGCCATGAAGCCCTCAAGCGACTACCGGTATCGAACACATGAGGTGCAGGTGGTCACATCCAGGTAGGTGCACTTGCGCGATCCATGCTTACTCCAACAGGCAAGTCAGGCGGAAACGTGCAATCATCGCGATGCTACCATCATGGAACTCCTGAATCTAAGAAAAAACAGTCCCATAGTACGGCCCGGCCACCCCATGCCTTTGAGTCTTGGTTCGGTCCGAGGCTCCGGCCGATCTCGATCTCCCCGGTCAAAACCCAACCGGCTGAGCCAAAGCAAACGCATGGAATCATTCCCGCCCCTTGACAGCCACCAATGTCGACCACTTTCCGGGCAAACCAAGAAGCAGCGGCCACGTGTTCTTACCAAATGGGCAGCGTGCTGGGGCTATCTCCGAGGTATACACCATGACCCACTAGTTTGTCACACGTGGTCTAGGGGTCACTCCTGTGACTCCGTGTTGGTTGCACCTCCATCCTCGCCGCCTTCGCCAAACAAAGCCCCAGCGGCACACGGCCGTCTGCGCCTCGTTCTCCCAAATCCTAACGGCACTCCCTGCACCGGACCAAATCCTACCCTCGTTGGTCACGTTCTCAGACCAAATCCCACTGGCGCAACCCAACACCACTGGCGCAAGTCTGCCGCCCGGCCACCCATTCAGTCATTTCTCAGTCAGGCACAGCCCAACAACCATGAGTCGTGTTTATAGCGGCATTTCTCGGTCATTTCCCAGTCAAACATCACCATAAGCAGCAATTCTGCAGGCAAGCCACCTCGGCCATTTCCCTTTCAGCGGTTTTCACGTGTTATATTGCTGACTCGGCATGCTCGAAGCCGGCCCCCGCTCCCTCACGGTTAGACATCTAACGAGAATCCAACCCGCAAAAGGCATTGCTTAGGAGAATCAAACGGCTAAGAGTTAGGGCAACGCTTAATGCTTCAGAAGCGAAAGTTTCAAGCTTGCAGATTTCAAGACATAAGAGGTAAACGCATTCGCGTTTACTGGTGCTAGTCAAGGGTGAAATGGATTTCCCCTGCGACTCAAAGCATCAATCAACATGCGAACTGATCGAGCCCGTGGTCATCTCTTCAAAGGCAAAAACTGCATGGCCAAAGGTCCCGGATCCGGAAGAGCCCTTCATCGCCCCCTGAGTGGTTCTGCACCTTTTCCGCGGCCCTCAACGTTGCGGCCTCCCAGACAAGTTGGCAAAGCCGGAGGTTGCGCACTCCCACATGGGTCACAAGTTGGAACAATTGGCTCCATGTCCTTCCAAAGATAAGCATAGACAACTGAATATGTTTTTAAAAGGGCTACAGTAGTGGGAGGCCAAGATGTTGCGTGTCAAATCAAGAATCCGCTATGAGGAGGGTCTTGACGGGACAACCGCATGAAGCAAGGTTGGCAGGCTTCCAACCTTCGTCTGACGGATCTCCACCTAATCATAGTTTGTAGTTGGTTTGGCGGCCTGCTATTCACGCATCTGCTCAAGTCGTCAAACCTGAATGGCAACAGGATCTGGCTCACGTGCTGAGAATTAGCTGTGCCGTGACCGCATAGAAGGCCCGGGGCAACTGGAGATCCAGGGCATCTGAACTGTGGAATCCCAACCTATCATCCTACCAATACCCTCATTCCAACACTCACATGGCCATTCAGTCCAAGTGGTCCCAGAACGATGTTCAGTTGCAGGCTCACTGTTTGCGCCTGGTTGGTGCAAACACGCCAACTTGAAGCAACCATCGGCTATGTTTCCAAGGCAGCGTGCTGACATCTGCAACCTGCCCGGCTGAATATACCTGCCTGATATGGGTCTGTCAATGCAAGTGTTGACAACCTGCCTTACAGTAGCTTGTTCAGCAGCCTGATGGAACCGCAAATCAACGCATGTACTTGACAGTTTGTGTGAATCTGTGCGTGTGTGTGCGTGTGCGTGTGCGTGTGCGTGTGCGTGTGCGTGCGCGTGTGCGTGTGCGTGTGCGTGCGCGCGTGCGCGCGTGCGCGCGTGCGCGCGTGCGCGCAGCGTGCCCCGTGCGCGCGTGCGGGCGTGCGGGGCGCGGGCGCGCGGGCGCGCGGGCTCGCAGGCTCGCGGGCGCGCGCGCGCGCGCGTCGGGCGGGGCGGGCGGGCGGGCGGGCGGGGTGTATGGTTGGGGCGGGGTTGGGGCGGGGTTGGGGCGGGGTTGGGGCGGGGTTGGGGCGGGGTTGGGGCGGGGGCGGGGTTGGGGCGGGGTTGGGGCGTGGTTGGGGCGTGGTTGGGGCGTGGTTGGGGCGTGGTTGGGGCGCGGTTGGGGCGTGGTTGGGACGTTGTTGGGGCGTGGTTGGGGCGTGTTTGGGGCGTGGTTGGGGCGTGGTTAAACGTGGTTGGGGCGTGGTTGGTGTGTGGTTGGCGTGTGGTTGGTGTGTGGTTGGTGTGTGGTTGGTGTGTGGTTGGTGTGTGGTTGGTGTGTGGTTGGTGTGGGGTTGGTGTGTGGTTGGTGTGTGGTTGGTGTGTGGTTGGTGTGTGGTTGGTGTGTGGTTGGTGTGTGGTTGGTGTGTGGTTGGTGTGTGGTTGGTGTGTGGTTGGTTTTTTGGTTGGTGTGTGGTTGGTGTGTGGTTGGTGTGTGGTTGGTGTGTGGTTGGTGTGCGGTTGGTGTGTGGTTGGTGCGCGGTTGGTGTGCGGTTGGTGTGCGGTTGGTGTGTGGTTGGTGTGCGGTTGGTGTGCGGTTGGTGTGTGGTTGGTGTGCGGTTGGTGTGCGGTTGGTGTGCGGTTGGTGTGCGGTTGGTGTGCGGTTGGTGTGCGGTTGGTGTGCGGTTGGTGTGCGGTTGGTGTGCCGTTGGTGTGCGGTTGGTGTGCGGTTGGTGTGCGGTTGGTGTGCGGTTGCTGTGCGGTTGGTGCGCCGTTGGTGTGCCGTTGGGGTGCGGTTGGGGTGCGGTTGGGGTGCGGTTGGGGTGCGGTTGGTGTGTGGTTGGGGTGTGGTTGGGGTGTGGTTGGTGTGTGGTTGGTGTGCCGTTGGTGTGCCGTTGGGGTGCGGTTGGGGTGCGGTTGGGGTGCGGTTGGGGTGCGGTTGGTGTGTGGTTGGGGTGCGGTTGGGGTGTGGTTGGTGTGTGGTTGGTGTGTGGTTGGTGTGTGGTTGGTGTGTGGTTGGTGTTTGGTTGGTGTGTGGTTGGTGTGTGGTTGGTGTGTGGTTGGTGTGTGGTTGGTGTGCGGTTGGTGTGTGGTTGGTGTGTGGTTGGTGTGTGGTTGGTGTGTGGTTGGTGTGTGGGTGGTGTGTGGGTGTGGGTGTGTGGTTGGTGTGTGGGTGTGGGTGTGGGTGTGGTGTGTGGGTGTGGGTGTGGGTGTGGGTGTGGGTGTGGGTGTGGGTGTGGGTGTGGGTGTGGGTGTGGGTGTGGGTGTGGGTGTGGGTGTGGGTGTGGGTGTGGGTGTGGGTGTGGGTGTGGGTGTGGGTGT